GGACGGCGTCCGCGAGAAGAGCGACCCGCACAGTGAGTGTGTCCCGGCACCGGGGCGGGCGGGCGGCTCCTCGCCCGGGCAGCGGGGCTGCGAGAGGGGCCGCGCCTCGGCCGTCCCGCCCTGCCAAAGCTTCGGCAGCGAGCCGTGCTTGGGAAGCGCCCGTCAATGTGCAGAATGTTCCTATGCGAGTAACCGCGAGTGCGCAGACGGAGTTAATTCATACCGAGTTAATTCATACCGAGTTAATTCATACCGAGTTAATTCATACCCACGTCCCGTAGCTGGTGGTTCCGCACCGGAACCCTCGGGATGTCCCGGGGCAAAGCCTCGCTGGCGGCTCCGCGCTCAACCTGTTGGGTACAGAGCTCGTCAAGTGCACAGAGGTTTGGTTACGGGCTTGAGGTGGTCTCGAGTTTGTTTGCTTGGCCCTTACGGAGGTCTAATGGCACTTGACCGGCTGTACACGGCGGCGGTGAATGTGTTGGATGCATCAAGGTAGAGAGGAGGTTGTTCTTCTTCCCAGTGCGGGTAGGTGCTCATGAGTAGGAGCACTTTCGGCACACAGGTAATCTTAGGAACAGAGGGGCAAATCTGGCCAAGGAAGCGGGGTTTATAACAAACTGCTATTTGCTTATAATAAACAAAGGTATCAGAACACCTTTTTGGCTTAAATGTTACATCTTGCATTGGCTTTTTGTTTTTTTGTTGTTTGGTTTTGTTTGTTTTTTTTCTTATTTAATGGTGGTTTAGATACAGATAAAATCCAAGGATTCTAGCAGCAGGAGAAGGCTGTCCCTCCAATACCTGGTCTTTTGAGGGGAGGGAAAGGCTCCTGGGCTGAGAACACAGCCCATGGACTCGGTGATCACAGGCTTGCAGGGAGTGTGTGGCAGGTTGCTGTTAGCAGCACAGGGTGCTTTTTGTCCCACAAACAAAATGCCCTTTGCAGAGTTCAGAGTATTTTGGAAGTATTCAGCACAGAGGTTTTGTGGATGTGGTGGTGAGTTTTTGACTGTGAGGCGTTTCCTTCAGCGCAGGTACAGGGAGCTGCTGCTGTCAGATCATCCCAGTGCCATTCCTGGTTGGAGGGAATTTGTTGCTGTGCAGTGTGTGCTGGGCCTGCCTGCGGGCCCTTGGCATGAGGAGCAGGTGAAATGCCTTGCTGGGATTCTTCATCTGCTTTGCACCTGTGCTCTGAGTGATGGATGCAGGGACAGGGCTAAACTCAGGGACTAAGAGGACATGAGAACAGAGACCAAGACTGACCAATGATTCTTAATATTACTTTCCACTCTGGACATTCACTTTTTGCCAAACAATTAGTTTTACCCAACAATTCCAGAGAAACCTTGTAACAGGAATCCTTAAAGGAAATAAATCTCATCAGACGTGGCACGTCACCCTAGAAGAAGCTATGGAAATGTGCTGGCAATCTGCTGCAAAGGGAGGTGATGTTGAGTGGAGGATGTACAAGGCTGCAGCTGAATCCAAAACATTGCCATGGCTGTTGGGTTCTTGCCTCATTCCCTGTCTTTACTTTTGAAAAGTGCAGGTAGTGGTGGTGTGTGGTGTTGTGTGCTCACCTGGCTGGCCCAGGCTGCCCTGAGTGGAGGTGATATTTATCACTGCTGCCTTTTTCATTGTAGAGTTCCCCCATAATAATTTCTTCCCCCCCTGCCTTTTTTTATTATTCTCTCAGTAAAACTAATACTAGTTTTTCATTCTTGAGTCCATTGAATGTGTGTTTTGTCTTCCTGCTGAGCCTTATCAATGCTAAAATTTCCAGCTGACATCTCATGCTTTCCTAGAAATGAATTCTGTCATTTTCTCATTATCTTGGCTTGTTGCTTTTTCTTCCTTTCTTCTATTTTTTTTTCCTGGAAGAACTCTAGTTCAGAGAAGCAGAGAATAATCAGTGCTGGAAGCATCAGCGAGGCTCATTGCTGAGGCATTGCGTGGTTCACATCCTCAGCATCCTTGCTGTAAATACGTCATTCCACACGACTCTGCTCAACTCTGACCTGGTGAGTGCTGCTCTGTGGAAGTCCCTGTGAAATCTCGTGGTATTCCTGGCATGGCAGAGGATAATAAATCTTGGACAATGTGAGAGGACTTTAGAAAAGAAATTAGCAATGAAAATATACACCTCAAATAATTCAGGGTGATTTTCTTAGCAAAAGGTTTTGTAAGGTGGTTTTGAGAAAAGAAATACAATGTCTGCACAATTTGGTTTAGAAATAATTAAATGCCAGTTAGTAAAGATGCTTGTGGTTGCTGCTATTCTTAGGAATTAATTATACAAAATAACATTTCAGTAGCACTTCATCCTTCTTACTTTTAAAGGAAGTTCTTATTTCAGAAGGCAAGTTATTGTCTCCTTATGTTTCAGACCAAAGTTTCAATACTATAAACCAATTTCCATGATCCACGTCCTTTTCAGCTCCCCTCCTCCTGCCTCTATTTGAAATACACATCTGCTTTGTGTCGTGGCACGGTTTTACACTCACCCCACTCACCTCCATTTATTAATAACAGTGTTGTTAATGAAATTAGGAATGGAAGTTGACGTCCTGCATGCTGGAGGACTGGGATCACATGATTCAAACAGCTGAAACCCAGGACAGGGCGTCTTCCATGGCCATTATTGCCACATCTGACGCGTGCGCTACAGTGACTCCAGTGAAGTGCCCCTTTGGACACACTCTGGGGACTCAGTCTGGAGTGTTTTCCCTTGAAGAGGTACTTTCAGACAAACAAGAAACAGAAGGCGCTTTCTGAGAGTTTTGTTGTCTAAAGCAAAACAAAAAACACGGCTGGTTTGTTGTTGTTGGTCAACAACTGTTGATTTATGCCCTGGAAAACGTACAAAGGGCGCAGTGTTTTTGGAAAGGCTTTTAGAAACTCTCCAGAGGTGTTTCCCTCAAAGAGGCTACAGTGCCAGTGAGGGGGAAAATCCTGGAGAATGGAAAGGGAACACTTATCCATACATTTAGAACATGCCTAGTAGCACAGCTGGTTCCTTTCAGAGTTTTCCTAAATGAGGAATGGTTGGCATTTATGTATTTCCATAATTTCTTAAGCAGCTTTGTTTCATGATGAGCATAACCCAAGACAGTATCCCAGGCATCCTGAACCATTCTTGTCCACTCCTTAATGAGGTGACAAGGCTCCAGCCTCTCATTTGGAAAGGATTCAGCTGTGTGAGCTCAGTCAGCCCTGCAGATGTATGAAATACCTTCTTCCTTCTCAGTACCTCTCTCCTCTTCCATACTGGTCCAGGAAAATTTCTGAAGAAGGTTCCTTTCATAAATAGTTGTTAATATTAAGATTTTGACTTGTCTCTTTCACAACATTTAAATGGTTTAAATGCTCTAAATGTTTTGGAAAGACTCTACTGAAGTATAGACTGACTTTTAGAGCAGCTCAGTGAAAACGATAGAAATTTGATCACTGATCATGCAATGCGAGAAAACTCATGGCGATCCTCAAGTTGAGCAAATGTCAGGAAGTGTTTTCATATGAAGGTTCAGGACCTGGGGTTTAGCTTTTTGAAGTTCGTAAGTTGTTTGGGACTTGGAATATCTCCTTTCCCATTTTGGTCTCCTGCAGACGTGGCCAGAGCTGTTGACAGGGCAAGATCTGTTCCAGATCTTAGCACTAAGTGAGAGGTGATTCAAAAAAAAACCCCCCACCCCTAAATGTTCAAATACATTGCTTCCACCCGAGTCCTTCTGGAAACAGACTCTTTTTGCATTACTTTTGATCTGTTGCACAGACCTTAACTGCTTTGCCAAGTGCTTTGTGGCATAGCACAGAAATTCCTCCTGGCTCCTGGATGTAGCTGCCTTTAGGGGATGAGGTAGCAAAGATCCCCTGTGTGAAAAAGTTGGGAATATGCTTCCTTTGCCTCTTTGGTCATAGAAATACCATCATGTTCCTGCTCGGGGGAGAATGCCTTCTCATCTCTCACAGTGTCTGCTAATCCTCTATCCCATTTCCTAGTGAGTCTTGCCCATCCCAGAGCTGTGTGGTCAGAGGTGGACCAAGACAACCCGAGATGTCTCCAGTGGGCAGTGAACTGTCCTGTCCCTCCCAGTCGTTTTCCTCCCAGTTTGGAAGTGGGGAAGGTTCTGAGGGCACCCACAGGTACACTAGAGGGCAGGATTTAGCCCTTAAATTGTCTCACTTAGGAGATGAGGAGCACTTTTAGGTAAAAAGCTGGTTTGCAGGAGAATGATAATCCAACTCCTGTTAGCCACTGCGTTCCCAGAGCTGGAAAAGATAAATACAGGTAACATGTTGTGAGATGAGGTGGCTGCTCTTGGTTTTCATTTGGTTCATAAATGCTTGAAATTTGTGCAGCTGATTCTAAGAAAAAGTTTATCTGTAGTGGGATCATATTTAAAAGCATTTTACAGGAAGTAAATTATGTTAGTAACTCAACCTGAATTTTGAATCATAGTCTTTTCAGTGATACTTTGTTTCCGTAAGCTTTCCTCAGCTCCCCTGGATTACAGGAAAGGCAGGCAGTTCTAATAAATAATTATTTGATCATTATGGTTTTTAGCACCCTTGGGAGCGTTGCCCTGGGATCACTGACCATCTGTTCCAGGATATTTGAGAGGTGATGGATTGTGCTGAGCTGGTTCATAACCCTGGAATTAATGGTGCTTCTGACTGTTGGTGACAGCATGTTTAGTGCAATTATCTAATAAAACCAAACCAGACCCAATGCAGCCCAGAGAATGCTCAAGTTACTGCTGCTGAAGGACATAAATAAGTATATGACATCTGTAAACCGAATATCTATACCAGGTGATATCTGAAATGTTTATGGCATGATTTTTGAAGCTTTAAAGTAGTTAATGAGATACTGTTTCAATCCTGATGGAGAATTAATAGCCTTTACTTTTGTTAGCACCTGTTTAAGACTATGTGTTTCAAAATAAAGCAGCTCTCTCACCCTTCATTGTTCTCAGTAGTGTTTGGTGACAGTATGCTGGTCAACTGTTTTGCCTGTCTGCCTCTTCTG